CGTACGTTTAAGCCGTACCTGATGATGACAAAACCTTGTCGAAACGTTGTACATTTGCTGTCATGTTAAACTTATATTAAAGTTTTTCTTCATTACCCATTTAAGCCGTACGTTTAAGCCGTACCTGATGATGACAAAACCTTGTCGAAACGTTGTACATTTGCTGTCATGTTAAACTTATATTAAAGTTTTTCTTCATTACCCATTTAAGCCGTCTCCAGCCATTATTAGTCTCAAAGTGGGTTCCTCGTCATCGAATAGGTACGATTTATTTCCTGTAACTGTAGCTATATATTTAGTTGACAAACAGAATGGTGTGGGATACCACTGTAAACAACCTTAGTTTGTTCTAAGTTGACAAACAGAATGGTGTGGGATACCACTGTAAAAAACCTTAGTTTGTTCTACTTTCACAAAATTTATGACTACCTACCACACAGCACAGAAACTGATGACGTAGAAGATGATCGCTGCTATTAATCGTGTTTAATGTACACTCTTGACAGACCTGTGATTCAAAACTACATATTAAAATGTTACGTTTTACCACTACCATATACTGAACTGTAATGCTACTGCTAGTAACAGACAGAAAACGACTTGTTACAACTAATATTCCTAAATAACTAGCCCAAAAGATAACTCATATAACATTATATGCGAAATGTGACGAGGGTAACTAAGAAAAGTGGATGCGTGTCTCCCTCTTAAAAAAATTTAGGGTCCAAAATTAGGCCTACAGTTGGAAGTTCAAACCAAGCGAAAAAAACACGGACGACTGCAAGTAAGCGTTACTTTGTTTTCCTAATGATGTTCGCATACTACTCACGGTCACTTTGTTATAGGATGCAGAGACCACAATTTCAGGTGTTCGGGAGTTGTTTACAAACTCTTCCAGGAGATTCAGGGAAAGGACTAAACTTTCCAGGAAGCGTGGAAACCCAAGTACAATTAGCTTAAAGTAAAACTGGAAAACATTTGTAGTAACGGTACTTCCCTGAGTACAAAATACCCAACATGCTTGAAATTTCGATTTTACAGTTAACACAACGTTACGACACCTAGAGGCCAACTGTAATCAACATTTCTCGTTAGATTTTTACTGGCGATAAGCACGAAGATTTTATGACGCTGGTGAAAGTTGATTGAGTGACTTATGTGACTGATATCTGCTCAAGCAGTGACTCGGGTAGGCATTCTTTTGTGTTAAAGACTTAAAATTTAATATCCTACTTTAACAAAAGTTGTAACAAAAATATACTCACGGTTCAGTTAGAAACTGGCCCGAGTCTCCAAAAGTTTGGTATAAGAATGTATCATCGTCAACAATGACGTCATTGGTGTTATCCCACGGAATAAAAACTGTTTCTTTATCCTTTAAAATGGCCACGACATGGATATTGCCATACAGAATTATCCACGCCACTATCAGCGTTAGAAGACGAGTAATCCGTTTTCTTGCAGAGGCTCGGCACATATTTTCCAAATGATGATGATAGATACACAAACACGAGTCAACTTTCCATTACCCACCAGTCAACTTTCCATTACCCACCATTCAACTTTCCATTACCCACCATTCATGCAGGATTATAC